CAAAATTGCAGCACATTCCCAAATTCCTGAGCATTCCCAAACTGCAGTTGCAATGAGTTCCAAATTGCAGCACATTCCCAAATTGCAATATGTTCCCAAATCCTGGTGCATTCCCAAATCCAGGAGCATTCCCAAATCCCAGTGCCCCCCCAGACAGCAGGTCCCTGCCTTGTGGCCGTGCCGGAGGCTGGACACCTGAGGCTCTCCCTCCCAGCTCCTGCAGGACCGTGACCTAAATCCCCTAAATTTGCCCTAAAACACCCTAAAATGTGACTGGATGCCCCTCCCTGCCCCAAACCCTCCTCCCCAGAGCTGCTGCCCCCCGCCCTGTGGGGAAACTGAGGCAGGAGGGGCTGGGATTGCCTGGACCAGGCAGAAACCAGGTGGGGTTGGGCTTCTTCCTTTATTTTTCCCCCCCCTCTTCTTTCTTCTCCGTTTAAAAATAAATCAGTAGAATTTAATTACGGGCAGCTTTTATTCTTTACTCCTCAGGCTCCAACGGGCTTTGTTGGTTTTTTTTTTTTCGTTTTTTTTTTCTTTTTTTTTCCCAGTTAATTGCTTCTTTTGCTGGAGGAGGAGGAGGACAAGGAGCAGGGCTGGCCCCTGCCTGGCAGCGGGGAGATGTTGTCCCCAAATCCTCACCAGCCCCATGTCCCACCGTGTCCTCCAGCACCCATGGGTGCCTGGCAGCCCGCAGAGGGAGGAGGGGATGAAAAAATAACCGAAAACAGCACATTTCCAGGGTTGGGGGGTTTTTTTTTGGGTCCAGAGGACAAGCAGAGCTGGTCACATCGTGCCACCAGGGTGGGTTTGGGTCCTCGTGGTGGGGTTGGAGGGGGGTTGACGCTGTGGGTCGAGGTGTGTTGGACCCAGAAGGACCTTCGCACTTGGCACCCAGAAAATGGGGTGGTTTGGGTCCCAGCTGGGTTGAAATATTAACCGGGCATCCCCGGGGAACGCCGGGGCCGTCCCAGAGTCCAGGGATGGGCTGGGTTGAAGTTTAACTGGGTGCCATCAAGCTTGGTGGCTGCTGTCCTGCCCTCCTGGACCCCGACCCCCCCCCCCAAAGGGCAAAGGGAGCCCTGCCCGCTGGTGGGGGGCTGCTGTGGGGCCAGGTCTTACAGCCCCCACAGCCCCCCCAGAGTGGTCCTGCCAGGGTGTCTGCACCCCCAGTGGGCACCTCGCGCTCCATCCAGAAGATATTTCCAATCGGAGACTCGTGGTGGAGAGACCCTGGTGGGGTCAGAGGGATGGGAGGAACCTTAGGGGTGATTGTCCCCTCCAGATGGTAGAATCATGGAATGGTTTGGGTGGGAAGGGACCTCCAAGCCCCCCCCCAAGTGCCACCCCCTGCCCTGGGCAGGGACACCTCCCACCACACCAGGTTGATGGTCTTTGAAGGAAGAACTTGTTTGGTGGGAGGGTGGTGAGAGCCTGGCCCAGGTTGGCCCGAGAAGCTGTGGCTGCCCCATCCCTGGAGGGGTTGAAGGGCAGGTTGGAGGGGGCTTGGAGCAACCTGGTGTGGTGGGAGGTGTCCCTGCCCAGGGCAGGGGGTGGCACTGGCGGGGGGGCTTTAAATGTCCCTTCCCACCCAACCCCTCAGATGATTCTGTGACCTTGCTGAGGTGTTAAAAGACAAGATGGAGGATAAATAATGGGAAACCAAGCTGTAATTCCTGCCCCAGGGGATGAGTTTCCCAGGGAGCAGTGGTGGGGGTGTGGGGGGGTTGTTGTCTGCCCTGGGTGATGGGACCATGTCCCAGGGATGGTGTGTGCCAGCCCTGCTCACTGACCTTCGGAGGTGTTGGCAGCCACCTCCATCGCTGCCACCTCCGGCAAGAGCAGAGCAGGGACAGGGGGACACACACACATGGATGCCCATCACACCAAATGGGGCTGGAATTGGAGATTTGGGGGGTTCTATCCCCGTTTTAGCCCCCCTTGAGCTGTGCATCACACCCCACAAACAGCCTGGCCAACCCAGCCCTGTCCTCATGGACACGTTGGACGCTGCCACCCTCACCCACGCACCCACTCTCTGCTCCTCTGGGGGCACACGGGGATTTTTCCTCTCGCCATCCTTTCATTTTTTGTTGTTCTCACAGGATTTGTAGAGCAGGAACCGAAGCATCCCTTAAAAAAACCACCCCAGCCTTTGGTTGGCAGCCACCTCCATCGCTGCCACCTCCGGCAAGAGCAGAGCAGGGACAGGGGGACACACACATGGATGCCCATCACACCAAATGGGGCTGGAATTGGAGATTTGGGGGAGTTCTACCCCCGTTTTAGCCCCCCTTGAGCTGTGCATCACACCCCACAAACAGCCTGGCCAACCCAGCCCTGTCCTCACGGACACATTGGATGCTGCCACCCTCCCCCACGCACTCAGTCTCTGCTCCTCTGGGGACACACGGGCATTTTTCCTCTCACCATCCTTTTATTTTTTGTTGTTCTCACAGGATTTGTAGAGCAGGAACCGAAGCATCTCTTAAAAAAAACCACCCCAGCCTTTGGTGAGCTGCCCCGGGGGCTGCTCCTCACGCTTTGGGACCTTATTTCTTCTTCTGCTGGGATCTTGGAGACCCACCCTGAGGTTCCCCAGACATTTTCCTCTTCCTTTTCACATCCAGGAGCTGAGAGCGGAGCAGGATGGGACCACCCTGTGCTGTGCAGATGGAGACCATCTCCACCCTGGGCAGGGGGGTGGTTGCTGGTAGGAGCTCCCCAGGCTCCTCAGCATCCCCAGGGATGCAGTTCCCTCCTCTCCGCCGGGCAGGAGACCACCAGGAGGGGCTTCCAGCTGCCAGAAGGAATTGCCCAGGGGAACAGATTTAGATTGGAGATGAGGAGAGGGTTCTTCACTGTGAGGGTGGTGGAGCACTGGAACAGGTTGCCCAGGGAGGTGGTTGAGGCCCCATCCCTGGAGATATTCAAGGAGAGGCTCGACGAGGCCCTGGGCAACCTGGTCTAGTTGGGGGTGTCCCTGCTGACTGCGGGGGGGTCAGACTAGATGGCCTTTGGAGGTCCCTTCTGGCCTGGGCAATTCTATGATTCTATGCCCAGAGGAGCTGGGTCTGTGGCCAGATTTATTTCTCCTCGATGCCATCCATCGCAGGCCCTGCGGGCGATGTTCAGCAGTGGTGGCTGCTGCCATCACTCATGTTTATGGCTGGAGGATTTCTCCCAAGAATAAACCCTCCGAGAGATGGAGCGAGGCCCCAGAGAAAACCGGGGTGGGATTTCATGTCCCTTCTGATGGTGGTTGTGTCCCTCTGGCTGTGCCAGCATCAAAGCCCAACTCTGCGGGCAATTCTATGATTCTATGCCCAGAGGAGCTGGGTCTGTGGCCAGATTTATTTCTCCTCGATGCCATCCATCGCAGGCCCTGCGGGCGATGTTCAGCAGTGGTGGCTGCTGCCATCACTCATGTTTATGGCTGGAGGATTTCTCCCAAGAATAAACCCTCCGAGAGATGGAGCGAGGCCCCAGAGAAAACCGGGGTGGGATTTCATGTCCCTTCTGATGGCGGTTGTGTCCCTCTGGCTGTGCCAGCGTCGAAGCCCAATTCTGTGCTGGACCAGCTGGTTTCCTGGGTCTCCCCCAGCTCTGCAGGTGGGGGGGTGTCTCCAGCCCCACTGGTCACCCTGGGCTAACTCCAGCCCACCCATCTGCGTGGGTGTTGGAGCTCATTGAATGTGCATCCTGGGGATGGAGGATGCAGGGACCCAAGGGACCAAGGCTACATGTACCTGGGGGACCAAGGACATGTCCACCTGGGGCACATGAACCATAGAATCATGGAATGGTTTGGGTGGGAAGGGACTTTAAAACTACCCAAGGGACCAAGGCTACATGTACCTGGGGGACCAAGGACATGTCCACCTGGGGGACCGAGCACATGAATCATGGAATGGTTTGGGTGGGAAGGGACTTTAAAACTCACCCAGTGCCTCCCCCTGCCCTGGGCAGGGACACCTCCCACCACACCAGGTTGCTCCAAGCCCCCTCCAACCTGCCCTTCAACCCCTCCAGGGATGGGGCAGCCACAGCTTCTCGGGCCAACCTGGGCCAGGCTCTCACCACCCTCCCACCAAACAAGTTCTTCCCCACAGCTCAGCTCCATCTCCCCTCTTCCAGCCCCTCTCCCCACCCAAGCTGGTCCCAGCATCTACAGGGGGGGCTGGTGGAGGGCTGGACACCCCCAAAGCCTTGCAGCCCCCCGAGAGCTGGGTGGAAACCCCCAGGTGAGGCCCCTGCCAGGAGCTGGGGGTGAAGGGAGGGGGGGCAGGAGGCTGCAGACCCCTCTCAGACCCACAAAACCAGCTGCTGGTGCCAGGGGAGAGGCTGCTTTGGCAGCGCCCGCCTCGTTTTCCGGGCAGAGCTCCAGGGTTGGTGCTTGGTCCTGTGTCCTGGCTGCCCGGGGATGATGCTCTTGGATTTTTCATTCCAGCAGCAGACTCCAAAACAGCTCCCAAACCCCCTCCCGAGGCTGCAAACCCCCAACAACCAGGGTTATGGATAACCCCAGGGTGGAGGGAGCAGGTTTAAACCTCTCGCTGCCCACCCACGGGCTGTTTTTTTCCCCTTTCCCCCTCACCCCAAATCCACGCAGCTCCTTTTTTATTTATTTATATTTTGTTTTAAAGGATGAATCCGGATGCAAAACATTCCTGTGGGCTCGCTGGCAGAGCTGGGAAGGGCTGGGAGGAGGGATGCAGGGAGACAAACAGCAAAGCCCCAGCTGAAAATAGTTGAGGGCTGGGGAGAATTTGTCGCAGGGGGGGAGGGAAATACCAAGCGTTTTTGCCCAAATCCTTAGGCCATCCCGCCCGGCTGCTGGGGCCAGGAGAAGGGCCGGGAGCTGAGGGGAAGGTGGCTACAGGCAGGGACTAAGCCCTGGCACCACGGGGATGGGCCACAGGGAGGAGGGGAAGAGGCAGGGAGATGCTGCTGCATCCCCTCAACCTGCACCCAAAGGACCACGGGGAGAGCCGAGGGGCTCGGGTCACTTCTGTGCTTTATTTCTCCACGTTAGAAGGCAATTTCTGAGGCAGCATTAATTATTAGTAGTGCATTAAAACCTCCACACAACACCCAAACCAACCACCCGGCGCAAGTGGCCACCCTCCAGGACCCACTAGCCAAACCCCCAAACGAGGGAAGCCCCCTCAAGGTTGGGGCAACGTGGTATGAGGATGGGTCCAGCCCCAAATCTCCTGGGACTCTCCCCCCCAGGAGCTCACCAGGACCCTTTTAGCTGCACAAAGCTGGGGGGGATGCTCTGTGCCACCCTCCTCACCCATTGCTTCCATCCACAACCCCCCCAAAAAATACAAATAAAACCCTGGAGGCAAAAATCAAGCCCTAAAGGTAAAAAATCAAGCACTAAAGGTAAAAAATCAAACCCTAAAGGTAAAACAATCAGCCCAGGGAGAAGGGAAGGCACCGCTTCGCTCACAGCCTGGAGATTTTGGGCAGGGGGGGGTCTGGGGGGAGCCCCTCCAGCCACCCCACCAGGATCCTGTTCAGCTCCGCCGGCCTGGGGGGGAAGGCAGAGAGTTGGGGTGGGATCTGACTTTGCCCCCCCTGACTCCAGGAGAAGGGGGAGCCCGGCCCCAAAGGTGGGGGATGCCATGGATGCCAACCCCCCCCGGTACCTCTCCATCTGTGTCCAGTGCCCACACTCCTCCAGGTGCTCCCGGCGCAGCTGTGGGATCTACAGAAGGATGCACAAGAGGGGCTGGTTTGTTCCCCCCCCCCCGAGGATGCCCACACCCCTAAAGCAAAAGCAAAGCCCCCCCTCCCTGCTACAAATGGGAAATGGCCCCTTTCCCCACCCTCTCCACATCAGTCTGTCCCCCCTTTATCAAGTGATGTCCCCACATCTGGTCCAAACCCATCTTGGCTTGATGGACCTCCCCCAGGCCTTCCCCGTGGTGGCATCTGATGGAACTGGGATGGCTTGGGTGCCCACTGGTCCCAGTATGTCCCATGGGGTGGGGTG